TTTCTTCCATCCTCCTCCTTCTCTCACCTGCTTCTCTGGAACAAATCAAAAGCTGTCTCAGCCTCACTCTGAACAAGTGCACTGCTATAAAACAAGCCACAGTTCTCTGGCTGCAGCAATCTGTCTGGCTGCTAATTCAAAAGGTAGACAGCAACTTCCTCAGCAGGCTTTCTGTAGCTGAAAGAGGTTTGAGCAAAGATATTTAGTCTCAAACTCCCTAATCACACAAATAAAGCACCATACTGTTCAATTCTTGAGAAAAGAAATCTAAAGCCTAAAAGAAAGAAGGAAGCCATGCTTCAAGCAGCAAGTGTTTCCATTCCAAAATGTCCACCAATGTCAGCCTCACATCCCTGTGAGTCTCAAAATGCACTTGACCACAATCGAAGCCCCGTCCTCTGCAGGATAACTGCATTTTCAACAGATTCAAACCGCACTGCTCTGAATGACCGAAGGGTGTCTGCTCTGGCAGAACAGAAGGCTCCATTCAGCGAGGAGCAGCTCTGTGCAAACGTTAACTCTGCCAAGACAGAAATTAGTATTGCCCTGAAAAGCCACTCTTCTCTGCCACAGAAGGACCTGTTAGCGGTAATGTACTATTCACATGTTGCAAGTGGATCTTGAAGAGAAGACAGGTCTATAAAAAAAAAAAAAAAAACAAAAAAAAAAAAACACCAACACTGAACTGTCTTTGAATTTCAATTTCAGTAGGCGTGTAATAGACAGAAAGTTACACAATGTTTCTCACTAATGATACTACTACATGTGTTTTCACTTGTTGCCATAGAGAATTCTTGGTATTCAATGGACTAAAAGAAATAATTTTTGCTGGCTGAAAACTTACATTTGGATCATTATTTTTGATTTTATACTTGCTCTATCTGGGAAAACTAAAAGCCTTCAGTACAAGTAGGTTTTTTTTTTAGATTTTTATTTTTCTGTGAAACAGCCATTGCAGGAGTCTCTCATATGTGTGACGGCTGAAGTGTACAAGCGCATGAAAGGGGAAGGAATCAAGGCCGGGGCATTGGTCCCTTACACAAATGGAGGTGAAAATTTCTGCCTAAATAAATAAAGAAATATCCACAGAGCTTCTTTGACCACAAATGATTTTACCTTAAGCAGGCCCCACAGTTCATAAGAAAAGCAGGTCTGTATCTAAATCAATGACTACTTAAAAACATTTTGCTCCATTAGTTGATGCAGTACCTATGGTGGCCCATGTGTACAGTAAATGGCAACTCTCAGGTTCTAATACACAACATAGGCTACTGCTAAGTGGAGGCTTTTGCTCTAGATACAGTATAGAGGGTCAAAGGGAGCTATATGAAAATCACACTGGCTTCCACTTCCTTGTGCACAAATGACTCTGCTACACAGGTTTATATTTGCATATTCTGGAGGTTTTTCCAGTCATGTGTAACAGCTAATCTGAAAAACGTTCCCAAGTGTATTTAAAAACAAACCTGCATTTAATACCTACCGAAGTATTCCTTTTTCATGTGCATCTCTAATTCCTTTTCCAGCTCCAAGGTAAGCGCCTCCAGCCGTCTCTCAGCCTGGCTTGGCCCACTCTCTCGGCTGGGGGTCACCTGGTAAGGTAGCTTAAACCTCTGCCCAGAGGACGCTGCTTTTGAGGACACCCCATAACTAAATGACGATGGCGACCCTACGGTCATCTCCGTAGTCCCACACGTCTGAGCTGACAGCTGCTGAGGCTCTGGCGCTGTCGAGAGCCCCTGGAGATGGATGCGAGTTTGGATTCCGTTGGAGTCTCCAAACTCCTGCAGCAACGTATCTTCGTGTAAACTGCTCCCCAGCATCGATGACCTGGGTGACGGCAGCTGCAGCTCCGGGTAGGTGCTCATAGATCCCCTGGAGCTGCGGGAACTTCTTGAGCTATGACTGGAGATGCTGGACCGGGGACTGACCACGCAGTTTGCAGTGGTCCCCGGTCTTGCGCTCCCATCCTGACTGCAGATGCTCGTACGAGGACTGGCCAAGGGGGCTGCGGGCAAAACTGCCCCCTCCAAATCATGGTTGACCACGGGCCCGTACCGTGAGTCAGAGTAACTGGATCTCGGGCTAGTGGTGAAGGAGTACTGGCTTGCCGTGCTCGACCTGGGGCTGTTGTGCCTCTGGTCGTAGCCCATGCTGATGCCGCTGGTTCGGTTGCTGCTGGGCTTGCTGCAGCAGTCACAGCTGTTGAGGCTGGCCCGGGGGCTGGAGTGTTTACTCGTGTCGCTGGCGGTGCTTGCATAGCTGGATCTGGGACTGAGGACACTGTTGCCTTCACAGTGAACCAAACTAGACCTGGGGCTTGTATACCTGTCCTGACCGAGTACCACCAAACTGGTACGTGGACTGCTGATGCTAGACCTCGGACTGGCGTGCTTGCCTTGCTCTTGAGAAGACATGGGAGATGCCAGGCTGGAGCGGGGGCTGGTGGCATTATATCTCCCGTCGTGGCTGCCGGTGAT